AATACTGCTACATGATAGGGCAGATGTGGTTAGTGCCTTGTGGGAGAGCGTGTACAATACGGAGGAGCAGATGGATCACCACAGTCTGGTGAGATTGATGCAGTTGGAGGTGACGAGAGGTTCTGGCAGAAGCTCAAGGCTCAGAGAAAAGGCAAGACGGACATTTAATCAGAAAGCTACTGGCACCATTAGTATCGGAACTCTTCGCTGGCTGCTGAAGATGGGGACAGAGCGCTTATGTGAATGCTCCGAGTGCTGTGATGTCGGTTCTTGAATCAAATCAAATCAAATCTTTTGGTGATGGGCTTCTTTTGTTTATTTAATTTAACATACATTTTTCACATGCATGCGCACACACACACACACAAAGGGATACAAATGATTGTTTATAATAAATGTGACAGAAACAAAGTAGACCATATTATTTTATTTCTCACATGAACAAGTGTCCTACAACAAATTTTACAGTATGCTGAAATATAACATATATTTCTTGTTCAGAAAATGGGTGTCTACAATTGTTGTATGTTTGTTTCATGTTGAAAATGATTGTGTTGTAAACTGCATTTAAGTTGCATTCTTCATGCTTGCATGACTGAAACCATGGGGTTAGTGTTGTGTTGGTCCCAACCTGGCAAGCATGCAACACTCATTCTGGACATACTGGTGAACACTGATGTTGTGAGGGTTGCTGGCTGTCTACTGTTACTGTGGGGGATTGTCCGGGATTCACTGGCAGCCTCAGTGCTTTAGTCCTGTGGTAGACTGAACTATGATAGAGACTGGTTGATTCACCCTTTGTGAGCCAGTCTAGTGCCTGCTCGTGGTGTTACATGGAGGTAAAACTTTGATACATCAGCGTTGCTTAGTCCGAATTGATTGCTTCCTGACCCTTAAAATTGGACAAAATGCTGATTGTATAGACTTTCCATTTTAGCAGCGATTTTAATGGAAATAGTTTTCTTTATGTGTATACGTTAGTAATAATTCTTGTGTTTAGGATTTTTTTATGTTACATATCTTCCTTTCATCACTTATAGACTTGAAAAATGTCACAGGCTTGTACAAATATTATTTTATACAGACTTTGTAAAATATTATAACATCAGTGAAACTATGTATAAAATATATAACAAATATATATACAATAAAATATGGAGATGTACATTATTCAGTTGTTAGTTGTGTTGAGTGATGTTGGTGGCGTACATTATTCAGTTGTTAGCTGTGTGTTGTGATGAGTGATGTTGGTGGCTGAGAGCCCTTGTTAGAATGTCTGCTTGTAAAAGATGGCACTGGCGATAGAGCTAGAGGTGCAGAAACAGATGGCTGGATCCAGGGATTTGTTTCTAGGAAGAAAGGTGCAGATACCCACAAGGTGTCTTAGGTGCCGGTACTAACCACATGTACCCACATGTTTTACATCTGTTTCTTTTCTTTGAAGAATGTGTAAGAAATATTTTACAGCTTGATTCATTTGCATGTCATTGACTACTAAAAGTACTGACATTTATAGAATGTGCATTATGTATAAAATATCTGTAACAATTAATCATTGATAAAGGAATTTTTTTTAGGGGGACAAATAAGAAATAGGGTCATCATCATCTAGTGCCTAGCCGACTGGCAAGGGCGATCACGCCTCTCCACAGTCTGCCATCCGCAGCTGGGTGTAACAGCTTGTGTGTTGAAACTCCTCCATGCCATGCCAAAAGGCTGTCTCTTGCGCTGTCTTCCTGTCTCTCTCTTTCCACAAATCATTTTCCGTCTACTGATAACATGACCAACAAATGATGACTTTATGATGTTTGTAATAAGTTGTCATCGAGTACTCGCCTATTTCAAAACATATGGGTTGCTCTTAGATAGAGTCCAAGGAATTCTAAAGATTCTTCTATAAAATCACATCTCCAGGGCCTCAAGATATTGTTCGGCTTGTTTTTTAATTGTCCAGGATTCACAGCCCTGTGTTAAAATTAGCATGCAAGAGTTCTTTTGCTAACCGCCAATGACATGGATTTATTGCACAAAATGTTCTTCATTTTATAAAAGGCAGTTTTAGCCTGTCCTGTTCTTTATGTCCGTGAAACATCTTCCATCTGATACATATGCCTGGATACTTAAAATTCTGCACTTGTCCTAAAATATTTTGAGAGCATGCTACATACGGATGTGAGTCGTGGACTATCTCTCAGTCCTTAAGAAAGAGAATAGGGGCTTTTGAGCTGAAATGCTATAGAAAGATTCTCAGAATATCTTGGACAAAGAAGAGGGGAAATACTGACATCTTGAAAGATCTGAACATCAAGGAAGATTGGCTAATAAACAGCATCCTGTCTCGGAAGCTGAAATATTTTGGTCATATCAAGCGCCACGACGGATTGGAAAAAATTATAGCAGAAGGCATGATACCAGAAAGGAGGGGCAGGGGCCGACCGATAAGAAGATTGGCACAGGATATAAGTGACTCCTTGAGTATGAAAGTACATGAGGTGGGAGAACTGGCGAGAGACCGAGTTTCTTTCAAGCAGACTGATGAGAGCGACATTCTGCAAAGGACCTGCTACATGATGATGATGATGTCCTAAAATAACACCTTTGTCTTTACATTTAGGCACTATCCTTTTCTTGGAAGTCACCATTACTTCTGTCTTCCCATTGTTCAAACTGAGACCCATTTTATCACTTTCTACCACCACCATAACTATCAATTCTTGTAGTTCTTTATGAACAGATTAGGGTGACCAGTGCAATTTTGAAGATGGAAACAACTTCTCGTGTCTGAGCAGCTGAGTCACAAATTACAGCTTAAAAATTTTGCTGACTCTACATTGTTGTATTTTACACAAGTGTGACAGAAATAAACAGTGTGATGGCAACTACAAAGCTATCAAAATGTGGTGATACAGATGAATAGGAAAAAATATCCTAGTGGAGAAAACACAAGAAACAAAATATTACAAAAACTGGAGCATAAGAAGACTATAGTTTGTAGATTAATTACAGACACCGTTCATGATGTACTGAGCCTTGATGTATGTCAAAAGTTTTGTATCTGTAAAAAAGTTTTACATAAAAATCTACAGTACACTTGTCATCAAGAACAATGAAGTATTAGTTAGCCACGACTGAATCTGCTCCCTTTAACACAGACAAATACAAGAGCGCTTACAAGTAGATGTATAAAAAAAACAATATATTTTATATCAAAAACATCTACTAAAACAAGTATAGAAAACATGTTTTCCAACTGACATTTCAGTATTGAAACATTCCTAATATTTCACAATTAATGGAATGTGAAAAACTTCATGGCAAAATGATCACAAGGTATTCAGAATAATATAATGTATTTTTATTTTAGATGTTTGAACATATGTGTGTATCTATATTATCTTCTTCTTCTTTCTTCTTTTCTCTACTCATGGAATGCCTCCTGGCGTCAGGAGAGGAAGAGAACTCTAGAAGGGGCCTTTCTGTTCGCTTCATATATAGTACTTTTCAGTGTCTCTGATATTTCTGCGGTCTCTATTCTGTGTGTTCGACCTCTGGGTCTGTTATTGTTTATCTGTATAACATTGCTCTCTGTGGTGCCCTGTCTGCTGCCTGTCTTGTTACATGGCCAAACCAATTGATTAAAGTTCAAAATTGGTTTTGTGCCAATTCCCCTCCTGATATCATCGTTCCTAAGTTGACTTTTCCTTGTTACACCTAGCATAGTACGTAAACATTGCATTTGTGTCGTGACTATTTTCCTTCTGGCTTCTGAGGACACTATCCATGTTTGACATTTATAGCACAGCATTAAGAATATTGTGTTAAACAGTGTTCTTTAAGTGTTCATATTCCCATGCTTGCATTTCACAATTGGTGCCATTTGGCCTAAAACTTGATTGACTTTATTGCATCTTTGTTGGATTTCTTCATTCATTCTTCCGTCTTCTAAAAAAAAAATGCTCCCCGGGTATGTAAAATTCTTTGCTTGCGTTAACTGGTGTTTATCAATTTTGACATTGGTGGTTCTTCCTTTTCTGGAGAATGTCATCACTTTTGTTTTGTCTACATTGATCTTCATTGTAGTCGCATTTTGAGTCTATATTATCATATTATACAGTTAATATGTTTTATTTTTCGGTGAATAGTTATAGTTACAGTTCAGGTAAATGAAGTAATGCACAGTAGGTTCTTAATTCCTAATTGTGACAGATAATTTTTGTAATGGATTAAATTGTGCTGTTTTGTGGTATGTCTTCCTTTATATTTTCCACTTTTGTTATTTAACCTGCAGGTTATTTGCTTTTTATTCTGTCTTTGTTATCATTGTCTATGAGATCTGTTTCCTGGCTGTGGGATCTTTGATCCAACTACTGTTCCTGGTGGATTGGCTGGCTTTCACAAGTTTTGTGCTGAGTATGTTTGTTTTATCTGTAGTTTAGCTCTTGGTTCTTATTTTCCTATCACACTGATTTCTTGTGTCACTTGTGCATGGGCCTTCTACTAGAAATAGCACAGAGAGCAGGGGAATCAGGATGTCATATTTGTCACCTTTAAATAGTCCAAAATCTGTATCACCTGGTAGGACATCGTCCAGTATCTTCAATACTTATTCATAAACAATTAGTCTCTACAATGTATCTCTTCTATGAAAGTTGACTACAGTGCACCATCAAATATTTGTCTAATTTGCTGTTATAATATGAGAGATTTTTAGCTGGCTCTCTCTTGATATATGCCAACTTGTATTATCATTTACACATTTCTCACTGGCATCTAACTTCTCTCTCTAGTATAGTTTCTAAAGAGTGTCATGTCTTATAATGTCTTGTCTATGTGTTTCTTATTAATTTCATCCATCAATCCTCTTGTTGTTCTCTGCTTCTCTACAATCTCTCCACCGTGGCATTAAGTTCAATCATGTCTACATAAATTTTTCATACCTCAGCACTTGAGCACCCCAATTTCTCATGGACGTGATTGTGTTCTCAGTTGCAGCATGTTGTCTAAAGCATAAATGGCAAGTCAAGATTTTTCTCTCCTGTTCCAAAATACACAGATCCATATTCTCTAGTAGCGGGAACATGGAAAAACACATACCCTGGCCACAGAAAGCTACGGAGTGTAAGCAAGCCACTGCCTCTCTCAAACTGGATACACCAAGAGCCTGAAAAAAAAAATGTAAATGCACATACAAATTATTATTCAAATGGTTCAGTACAGAAGGCCATACAAGTGTAACTTGCTTAAAGAAAACCAGAATTCATAAAATAAACAAATTGCAGTAGTGATGACAAACATAAAATATGACACTAAACTCCTAGCTGATCATTTCCAAAGATGGTACCAAGTAGCAAAATGTTTCACATCAGTATATGTATCACTATATGTAATGCAGAGGCTAACATGACTGCCTGTTTGTGAAGTGATCATAGGTTGAAATCCTTACCAAGGTGAATGCTTTCAACTGACTAGGACTACCAGGTCGACCCAGTGGCTATAAGGAGTGAATTTGGAAGGTAAAAATAGCAGGGGAATATTGACTATATCACTCAAATGCCAGTTTGTCTTTAACAAATGTGGGGTTAGCACTGTGTGCCAAATATGCCTCAAGGCAGGGAGAGTGGGACCCATTACATGCTACCGGCACCGCTGGTATATGGTGCTAGACCCTGTATTGTATAGATTGGTTGACACTCAATGGGTGTAATGGTCAACATCACACTAGCTACAGGTAATTTACTAGTACTAATTTAAAGCTAGGTCAGCTAGGGAGCTCTGGATCAAATCTGATTCAATGTGGATTTTAACCCAAGACCTTCAGGCTAGCAAACCATTGTGTTGCTACGGCTATCATTTAATGGCTTTTATATGCACAAATGTATAACCCTGAATATAACATTTTTTTAAAATGATGTTATCAGCACTCTCATGAAGGTGTTTAAAGGTAGGAGGACTGACTTCATTGTACTGGCTTTGGCCCATATGACTTGGGCTATCATTGCAGCCCAAACTTATTCATGTCAATATGACACATCACAAAGTGATGACCCCAGGGATCTATGAAGACTGTACACTATACTGTACTAGAAACATCATTTACCACGGGGAATATCATCCTCAATGCTGTCCATGAAATCAATGGCCCGGTCAAGATTTGCACGCTGAAGCAGAGATTTCAAATTCAGACACTGGGCTTCCCGAAAATGCATGTAGTTGCACAGTTTGGCAGCTTCTTGAACTAATAAACCTGTCAACAATCGGAACAAACAATAACCTAAGTTATGCGCATGCTATCGTGTGTGGAAGCAAAAAACTTGTTACATTTGCTATAGTTTCATATGTCATATAGCTAAAAAGCAAAAAAATAAGTATTTGAATGAATGAAGAATTGACATCATTACATTTGGGTCATTCCTACACAGGCTCCGTTCCCTTCTTCGGTAGCTAAGAAGAGTCAAAATGCTAATAGTAAGTATTTATAATATAATATAATATAATATAATATAATATATTATAATATAATATAATATAATATAATATAATATAATATAATATAATATAATATAATATAATATAATATAATATAATATAATATAGTAACAATAATATAGTAATAATATAGTATAATATAATATAATATAATATAATATAATAATATAATATAATATAATATAATATAATATAATATAATATAATATAATATAATATAATATAATATAATATAATATAATATAATATAATATAATATAATATAATATAATATAACATAACATAACATAACATAACATAACATAGGAGGGGAAGTCAATAAGTAAGTCACACATGGTTGTTTAAAGAAAGCTACAGACGATAACAACTTCAAAACCATTTATTTTTTACACATGCACTGACAGCAGACTGTGGTACCTGGGAATCACCTTTGACAGAAGCTTGTTTTTCAAGGATCACACAGAGGTGGTTGTGTCAAAGACCCAAAAAGGTCTTAATGCACTAAAGAGTATGGCAGCCATGGACATGGAGCAAAGAATGCTGTTCACACTATACCAGCACTTAATCATCTCAGTGATTGATTATAGATTGGGTTTGCTCACTGTTCCTAAAGAGTCAGCTAGAGAAACTGAATCGCATACAGAATGAAGCTATGCGGGTGATCCTGGGATGTACAAAAAACACCGGATTGTGTGCATGCGATACATCCTTGCATTGCCGACTATTGCAGACAGGCTAAAGGTGCTGCAGGCAAAGTCATACCTCAGAGTAGCTGCAGACAAAGAACACCCTCTGTATGATGCTTTGGGTGCAGTTAAGCGTCAGAGGCTGAAAAGGAGAAAATCATGGATGGCTCAAGCAGAAGACACAATAAGACAAGTATGCACGCTGGAGAACATTGGGCGAGAAAAAGGAGTTGATCAGAGTACCAGAAAAGAAAGTCTGACCTATGTAGGGTCATGATCACATTAGACCCGGAGTGCAGAGAGTGGCCAACGGGGGCTACTGAGGTGGAAGACCAACAGTTGACTCATGACAATTCTCTACACAGACGGTTCTGTATTGAGAGGGAAGAGAAGTGCCTGGGGTTTCGTAGTTAAAGCCAGTGGAAAGTCTTTAAAGCAGGACAGCTTGGCATATTATACCACGACATCTAGCATAAGAATGGAGGTGGAGGCAGGCACTGCAGCTTGCCAGTGGCTAGATAACACGATACATACACATGTCATAACTGTAACCGACTCTGAATGAAAGCATGCTGAAAAAAGTGAAGACAGGGTTGCTTCAAGCAGAGTGGCAAGCTTCACTGGGAAAATCACAGGTAGTAAGCATACTTTGGATCTTTTTTCCAGGGTATGCCGGCGTGGTGGGGAATGAACTGGCAGGCAGACTGGATGGATCTGCACCGCTGGGTGGTGAATTAATGCATGACAAAGCAGATGTGGTTTGAGCCCTTTGGGAACAAGTAACAAAGTCAGAAGAGAAACTAGATTATTATGGGCTGGAGAGAATGATGCACCTGGATGTAACCAGAGGGTTAGGCCAGCACACTATGCTCAGAGGAAAGGCGAGACGGACATACAACCAGACTACAACCGGCACCATTAGTATTGGAACTCTGTGCTGGCTGCTGAGGATAGATATGGAGCGCGTATTGGAATGCCCCAAGTGCTGTGATGTCAATTCTAAACTCAACTCAACTCAGTTCAACATACACCGTCCCTTTATTTTTTATCATAATTTCCACCAGCATTGATGCATTTATCCCATCGTTTTATCAGTCATTCTAAACCTGCTGCATAGAACTGGGTGCCTTGTTTTCTAAATCTCATTTTCACTTCACAATCTACTTCTGCGTCATTCATAAAATGTCTCCCGCCAAGGTGGGTTTTCACCAAGGGCTAAGTTGGGGCTGTAAGGTGGAGGTTTCAGAAGTTCCCACCCTAGATGGTTAATTTTCTCCTGAGTTAACCGAGCTGTATCTGGTCTGGCATTGTCATGAAGGAGCAGTACTCCTGTAGTCAGCAAGCTCAGACTTTTTCTTTGATTTGCATCATAATGCATTGATATAATTTTACAGTATGAATCAGCATTCACATTGTCACCTCTTTTTTTTTAATTTGTTAAAAAGACCTCCTTGACAACCCCAGAGCCATATAAAATAAGTGGTCTTATATAACGTATAAATCGGTTGGACTTAGCCCCTAGCGATTTCCGCCATTTTAGTCCATTGAAACCCACCTTAGCGTCAGACAGACATTTCGTGAACGAAACGGAAGTTGACTGTGATGTGAAAATGTGGTTTAGAAAACAGAGCACACAGTTCTATGCAGCAGGATTGGGAGGACTGATAAAATGATGAGACAAGTGCATCAATGTTGGTGGAAATTATGTTGAAAAATAAAGGGACAGTGTATGTGTAAAAATAAATGGTTTCAAGTTGTTATTGCCTTTAGTTTTTTTTTTTAACAACCATTTGTGACTTACTTATTTACTCCCCCTCGTAATATAACATAACATAATATTATATTATATAATATAATTAAGTATTTGTATATGTATACATGTGTATTCACATATGCATACATACATGAAAAGACACATGTGCACGCACGCACACACATATTTATATAAAGTCAGGTATGAAATACACATGCAAACACATCAAAAACTATACAGAGGTCCCATTTCCATGCCTGGAGGTGTATAAATTAGGCATATATGACAGTCCAGAGTTTCATTTGACAGACTAACTGTCACTTTGTGTGTGATGTGGCTAAAATCACCCCATCCGGTGTTTTATATATATATATAATATATATATATATATATATATATATATATATATATATATATATATATATATATATATATATATATATATATATATATATATATATATATATATGTGTGTGTGTGTGTGCATGTGAGTGTGTGTGTGTGTGTGTGAGAGAGAGATATCACATACACATGTGCACCGACACACACTCCTTTGTGGAACACATACAAAAATGGAAACCATCATCCAACTTTTCCAACAGAGAGAATGCTTAATATAAACATACCCTCAAAACTTCTATTTTTGACAACTTCAGCTGTTGGCACTTGAACGAATGCTCCACGGGGAACAATCCTGACATCATTGTCAATCTCAGCAATCACTGCAGTCAGTCTATCTTCTTCTTTGATAGTTGTCTCCAGAAGTCAATGGAAGAAGAGTTACAAATAGCTATAAGGTAAATAAAGTAAGTAATGTAAAGTAAAGATTCATTTTCATGCCTTAGGCGCATCAGGCATATGGAGAAAAGCACCCCATATTTTTACAGACCAATCGACACTAGGTGGGTAATGTGGTCAGCATTGTGCTGGCCGTCTTTACCTCCCCAGGACATCAGTCTTGGCTGGGTCGACCAACGACGCCCCATACCATGATAAAAATCCACGCTGCCAGCAGTGGGTTCTCATTGGGGTGCGTTGGAATTACGAGTCGGACTTTCAACACCTAAGCCATGGACACTGCCAAAGTGAGTGATAGCTAAATGAAAATCAGTTTTACTGTTTCCACTAAAAGTACAGAACTCTTTTCCAAGCTGAGCAGAGATTGGGCATGCAGTAGTGCTAGACCTATATTCTATAGAACCAATCGACACTCAGTGATGTGGTTAACATCATGACGGCTGATCTTGACTTATCAGAACTTTACCTTGTACCTGTTTAAGGCTGGGTCAGTCGTCTGGGACCCAAGCTCATATTTGGAAAGAAAAAAGGCATGCTTCATTCGGATTTGAATCCACGACCTTCAGAACAGCAGGTGGCTCCCACAGTAATAGTTGTAGTATATTCTGCCCTACTAGGACATCACACAAGCGATAAACACCCAATGACACAAAGTGTCACCATGCGGATGAGGATCACCCGTGGAGACGTCCCGGAGCCCTGGGTGGGGCTTCAAAATAACGAAAAATTGCATCCCACAAGGGAGCGACTAGATAATGTAGCAACTCTCACAGTTACCAAGGGAGGGATATAAATAAGTAAAATATGTTTTAAAAATGAGGGTACCAACAATGTATTGTGCTGTTTACTGTCTGATACGTCTCACTGTATCCCAACAGATGCATTACTATTACTATAAAATACACTTCAACATTTATTGCAACAACAAAAAAGCCTTTTAAATGAAACACACAAATCACATTGTCTTGTGCTATACTGTAATCTCACCATGAGAATTTTAGATTAATCATGTGTTCCTGTGTTAGCATAATTTAGAATTACCTATCATAATTGCTGCTGCTACAACACATTCAGTAGGTGCCTGTTTAATGTGATAAATAATTCAGAAGGCACATTAAATTTGCTAGGCAATAAAATGTGCAATGTATTGACTATGCCCTCACTGTCTAAATTTGCACAGAAGGAAACATTGTTTTCAATGTTAAATATGTCTGTCTTTCTATGCCTCTTTCTCCTTCTGCTTCTCATCCTTATGCCTTTAATCTCCCATTGGAACATAGGTCATGCACTCCTCTCCTTTATCTCATACAGCTTCATCCATGTATTCCTCGCATTTTGATGGCTACATTCGCTTCTCTGTACGGTCTGTCCACAAAATTCACATTTATGATTTTGAACTATGATTTTAGTTGTTTTCTGCACAGGGATCAGTTAATGAATATTTGTAGTTCACTAGTGATTGTTTTTAGTCATTCCCATGTGAGCCAATTTAGTAATAGATTAAATATTTATTAATTTCCACAATTTTCCAAGTGCTATGATAGTACTTTTTGCTTTTGTTTAATTTTTTATCAATAAAAATGCTTCACCCATAAACAGTCAAACAATTAAGGAAATAACTGACAGGCTTTATCCCTCATTTATTGAAATGCTCTTGTATACAGTTCTAACAAACTTGTACAACATATATCAATAAGTATCTTTTTCATGTGAGTTTCAAGGGCCACCCAATTTTGAATTTTGGAGAGGAAAAAAGTACAGACCAACTGCCCCTTAACAAGCATGTTGCAAAAGGTCACATTGTTAGTTAGTGACAGTTCCAACTGCTGTGCAAACAGGTCACTTAGTCATTGGTAGTTTCAATTGCATGGCATACAGGTCAGTCCATAATTGCTTTGTTCCTGTAAAACATGACAAATTAAGAATTCATCTAATTAAATGTGTTGGGCCGAATGGTTCAGATATCATGTCTAACTTTAAACTACAACACAGTGTGCCCTCTGACCTTTTAAGAGCGAACACAGAAAATAGGAAAAAGAGCAAATATCTCATTAACTGCAAAAGCACAGATATTCATCATGGTTACTGTCTTGTTGAAAGTGGAATTTTGAATTAAGAATCTGAAGTGATGCGTGCCAATCTGCATGGAGCATACCTGTCTCCACCATACTCAATATGCTCTGTGAGTCAGTGACAATCACGGCATGTGTGTACAGCTGATTCTCAAGTCAGCAGAAGGCAGCAGTAATTGCCTCCACCTCCATTCTCCAACTAGACGTGACACAATATGCAAGGCTTTGCTGCACTTGGCAACGTCGATTCTTTTTTGCTACAAACCCCATGCACTTCACCTGCCCCTCAACACAGAGCCATTTGTATAGATAATCACATCACTTGGGCGGGAATTGTCATGACTTACTTGTTGAACTTCTGATTCTGCAGCGCCAGCTGGCCAGTCTCTGCACTTATGACCTAAAGTGATTAGAACCCTACACATGTCTGAAACTTGTTCAGACACCTTGACCCACTCCTTTCCTCACTCAAATTTATCAAGCATGTCCACATGTCTAATTGTGTCTTCAGCTTGTGCCATCCAAGACCTTCCTTTATTCAGTCTGTGACCCTCAGCTCTACCTAGCTGACTGTTTGATATGGTAAGCATTCCATGTCCATAATCTATCACCGACAGGATCACATGCTGGAATGGAACATTGTGAACAGCATTTTTTGTTACATGTCCATTGCTGCCATAAGACTGTTTTGCATGAAACAAAAATACACTGCCGTGATGTTCCATTTATGAAGTATACTCACCAACTCCTCCTCCTCTGTTGCGTCATCCCCGTCACCAGTTTTTTTTACTTCTATATGTTCTATCTCATAAGAAGGGTCACCTGTGAATCGACCTTTTGCCAGTTTGGCATTTGTTTTCATCTGTGCAGTTACTGGCGGTAGTAGTCCCCATTGCATGCAGTCAGTACTGACAGAGAGAAGAAATTAAATGTACATGATTCACATTCCACCTTTGTGAAACCAAGGCCTAGGTTATGTGTATTATTATAGAATAAATAATATGCAGCACAAATTTTAAACTCAGGATAATCACACACTTACAATTAGTAGTGAGACTAGCAAAACTATCCAATTAAAGTTTTAACATCTCTTATGTGTAAATACACAATATTTAAATTATAGTATATATATCTTTATTTCAGTACATACATATACCTCTGTAAACAAAATATTTGAGCAACAAAATCTGTCATGTTTAGAGATGTGTGGATGTAAGTGATAAATACACATTTGTATAGACCAGCTGCCACTCAATAAATAATGTAGTCAATATTATGTGGGCTGCTTTTATTTCCCAGATATTTCCATTTCGTTGTTTTTAAGGCTTGGTCAACCAGAGAGGCCAAGTTAGTGTTTAGAAAAATCCTTACTTCAGTGAGCATTCAAACTAATGACCATTAGGCTCTGAGGGAGGAAAGGAAAAAGATGATAGACCATGCACTTCTGTGACCCCTATGTGTAGCTTGCTGGCATGGAAAATAATGACTATAGCTGCATGTCTGCAGAAGACATTGTCATCAGTGGGTTTCAGGGCTCCATTTTGGAGAACAAGAAATACTCACCCCTCCCCCTCTCCCCACCCTTAACAAGCATGTCACAGGGGGTGACTAATTAGGGATGCTTTCTTCATAGTCAGAGTGTGTGCATCTGCCTGGGAGACAAGGAACCAGCAGTCTGCATACAAATATGCCAGATCTATAAAAGGGATGTGCTGCAAAACTCAAATATGGAACAAGACCAGAGTTCAGGAGTGGATGAACAACCAGAACTTTCTCCTGGAGTTTACAGCCAGTGAACGCTAAGAAGAATAAGATGGGCTTGGTATACTAACACTAACTGACTCCCAGTGTGAATGACTGAGAGTATTCAGCTGGGAATCATCTTGAAGTGTGCAAGAGAAACCTTGCACAGCAAAACGGAGATACATGCTAGAGTTGGTGAACAACATTCTGACATAAAGTTAATGCCTCTATGTATGCAGATACTGTCCAACACCATCCTTTACATAGACAGTTAACTCTGTCAGTCCTATGAGGTTTTGCAGTCAATGCAAAAGAAATAACCACTATGAAACTCTCACAGTCATTATTAGCTCAAGAGGCTGAACACACTACAGAAATGGCAATTATGAAAGCGAAGCGTCAAGTATGCCCTGATCAATGTAAAATGTAAGTCAACACATAATGGGATGAGTAGGATTTAAGAGAATGATCCAGCCACACATAAATTATTAATGACAATGAAAACTTAAGATAACTATTATTTGACTATTGCTTGGATGGCACAGTCAGAAACTACTGTTGGAAAGGTCACAGTGACAGAGCATTTCCATTGATGGCAGATTGGATACAGAGTGGTAGTAACAGGAACTACTACCATCTAGTGATCATCACAGTAGTTAGAGAATACAGAGAGTGGTGCCATGGGGAATCGGACCAGAGAATTACATGTGATTTGTATACTGGTGTTGATGATTCAGTTGCATACACTGATGGAACTGTGCTGCTTTATCAACAATGGAAATGTTATGAGAAGTAAAGGCAACTGGCATGATATTGACTACATCACCTGTTGAGTGCCGACTGGTCTGTGAAACAAATGTGGGACTAACATCAAAGGCCTAATGCATCACTGATTTCATACCTGCAGTCCCTTTTTTAGTGCCAGAATGCAGATTAAAAGCTGTTATTGTAGTAGTTAAATAGCTTCCTGTTCAGTATTTCGTTTTTTTTTTAAATAACCCTCATTGAGTTTTAGAAAGGGTAAAATATATGGCAGTGACATGAATGGCTTCCATTTATGTAGTGCCTGAAACATTTAAGAACTTGCTGGATCTAATGACCAAGTGTGTATACTTCAAACAGCAAATTTCAGTGAGAAACTAGAGAAAGAGAGAGAGAGAGAAAGAGAGAGAGAGAGAGAGAGAGAGAGAGAGAGAGAGAGAGAGAGAGAGAGAGAGAGAGAGAGAGAGAGATGGAATAAATTGCAAGTAATAAATGACAGCTTGTTGTTTAATGATACATCTCTTTTGCATTCTTGCTAGTTTCTTTTCTAGCAGCAGTAGCTACAAATTATGACCCACTTGATTTCATGAACAATAAAGACATCAAAAGTAACAACTGAAATAGAACATACTAAATCAATCTATTTGGTGATAAAGAGACTAAGAACCCACCCTGCTTGCAGTAGACACAAATAATAAATACAATTTAGTCGAAAACTATCAAAAAATGCTTAAAAGATCGAACAGATCATTGTCGCCTACTAGTCTTCATACTTGTGTAAATGCAAATGATTTATTACTGGAGTACAAAAATACACGCTTGCATTAATGACAATCATAATTCAATTTTCTGATTATAATATAATAATTATTATTATTAATATTATTGTTAACTTTTTAAAATATTTTAAACATTTATTGTTAGTCATCATTGTACAGTTTTATTACAATATATAAACTATGTTATAATCAATTTTGCTTTTAAATGTTCTGTTCAATGTCCTGAATGGTCTTGTTCTGCCTATGAACTCCCATAAATTATAATCAATATGTGTTTATTTCAACCGCGTGCAGGGCTATTCTGTGACTTTATTTTGTGAAATATTTGGTGGCTTTATTTTGTGTTAATGTTTTTATAATATTAATCTGCGACAAATAACATTTTTTTATTAACAAATATCAATGCATCATCATCAGCAGCAGGTGCCTTGCCGACTGGCGTTGGCGATCATTGATCATGTTTCTCCACAATCTGCATCTCTTGCAGCATGTATCATTTCGTGTGCTGATACACCTCCATGCCATGCAACAAGACATCAATTAATAATACTACTAATAATAGCTAGTAATACTGGTAAACTATTTAGATCATGTATTATTTAAGTCAGTTGCTTTTTTAAAAGCTAAAACATTTCCTAATATTAAATAGTGAAGAAATGCCGACCTGTAAAATGTTTTCCTTCCTGCAAACTCATCCCGGTAGACACCCTGAGCCACGAAATAATCATTCTTGACACCCAGTATTTTCCCCCAAAAGTAAACCCGGTTGAACTTATTCTCATTCTGTAAAATTGTGAGCGACGTCTGGAGAGCTGCTTTCTGCTCGGGACTCAGAATAATGCCACTACTGCCGACATAGTCAATACTAAGATGGAGAGTACGAGATTCCATTGCTGGCTTGTTTCAATAATGATAGCGAAGCTCCTGGCGAATGTTGTGCTTGTGTTGCTGTTTACAGAAATCACCATGGTTGCAGGTGGCATATAAAGGGGCGGCACTCTAGTCTGTTAACTGTGCCTGGTGTCGGGTCTTTTAGGATTATGTTGTCCATCCCTTCCCCCGCTCTGGAATAGCAACCAGACAGATTAACACTGTGTCACCCAAAGAGCTACTTACTATTCGAAATCCAGGAAACTCATTTCAGCAATATAGAACAGTTCTATTTGACTACTGTTAGATATGCACGTAGAGACAAATTGGTCACCGGATCGCATCAACGCTACTGGGGAAAAAAAGTTACGTTGCAGTGTGATGCAAGGGCATGGAAACCTTAGCGTGTCCCAGTGGCAGAGACCTCACCATTTTTGCATGTGCTTTTCGGTGTGTATAGAGCAGGAGTCACATGTGCACAAAGCGTAGGCAAAATAATATATGCAGTTATCCCTTTGCACCATCGAGGACGAAACAGCCACAATATTACAACGCTACAAAATGGACTAGACAGACTCAGTGAGTGATGCCAAGAATCGAGAGCATGAGTGAACCAATCAATGGCATCCTTTTAACTTGGTACTCTCTGAAGGTCCACATTATCAGTTCACATACGCTAATCGTAAGCATGTGCTGCATAGAGATTATATACCTGGCCATGATCGTTGACGGGTGCGTCTCATGCAAGTATGACGTACATAGAGCCAGAAAGGTCTGACAGCATTCAATGTGGTTCTTTCCCAGCCAGATGATGTGATGGGACAGCATTCCAATGCCAGTTGTTTCCCAACTTGATCCTCCCCAGCCGCCCGGAGGCCCCAGATGAAGAAGGGTGCTGTCTTATGGGACACAGCCTAATATTTTCAAGGGTAAGAGCGGGTTTCCCGCTCTGTGTGTGTCTTTGTTGCGACGCGTTGCCAAGGTGTTGGCGCGTTTCTTCTTCCGCGGGCAAGCGACTTTTTAAGGCGGGCGTCTCTCCAACGACTTGGGATTCAGACTTCATTGACATGAATTTCTGGAGTTAGCAGCATCGACAGGAAACGTGCCTGCCTTACAGATGGATCAGTCTAATCAGTTTTGCTGTTATCAGTGACGGAAAAAGAGGACTAGCAGTGTTGAAAGTCGACCTATCGTCTGGGGGTGGATCTGGCTCGAAGGTCGTGCCTGCCTTACAGAGCAGTCTCTTTTCTATACTACTGCTTTTCAGTTTGCGGCCAAAGTCCGCTTTTCAGTAAAGCTGCTTATGTGGGCAGACCTGGTCGACGCCTAGAGAAAAGAGTCGCTGAGCACATTCCAGTATGGGTGAAAAAAGGGCTATCCTCCGAATAACGGTCGGCAAAGATGGCGGCGGCAAAATATCGAGCCGAGCCGCGGTCACAGGTCTTTGCGCGCTTCCGGCTACTTAATTTGCGGTCTTCCGGCGGTTTTCCGCCAACACCGCTACCGCCATGTGGCCCCCCCCCCGCCGCTCAGGGCCACGTGGCGGTAGCCATTGTCGCCGGAAAAGCGCACATGAAGTAGCTGCAAGCGCGCAATTGACCCGTGACCCCGTTTGCGCAATGACCCGTGACCGCGGCTCAGCTGGATATTTTGCCACTGCCATCTTTGCCGACCGTTTGTCGGAGGATAGCCGAAAAAAGCCATGCAAAATAATATTCAGAATGAGAATACTGGCCGCAAAGAATCTGCACACGTGGTAACTAAGAACAATGCATTTCAAATCCTTTATATTTCAACCAATGGCAGAACGCTAAGATTTCTTGAAGCTTCCGCGATTTGTCATTTGCGCCCGAAACTCTCTATACAGAAAGATATGGTTCTGACTTTACGGCTGCCCTGGTAAAACAGGCAGTCATGTTGATTATTGTTGAAATTGTACTTAAGTTATAAAGGATTCACTTATATGCCTCATATGCGTACTTGTTAATGTATTATGCACTGATGAGATACAGCGAAACATGCCAGGCAATCTATTGTTTGTGTGTTACAATTTACAACGAGGAAACATTGGTTTGAACAACGTTGTTGTCAGTTGCCGGCGACATCAAGTGTTCTATATTCCACGACAGCGCTTTTAACGACCCCAAAACATCTACAACTGACTCTAACCCCAACCAACCTACGTCCAACGAGAAAGTACAGCCTAGGTCTCACGACTGTATGCAGCCTAGGTCCTCCTCACCAGGTAAAAAAAAAAACCCCACACAAACTGCATTTTCCAGATTGCACCAACACACAGAAGAATGCACACCAAAAACATAGCATAAGAAGCACACTCTGCACATTACAAATCTGCGCGGCAAATGAAATGCCAGATTACTAAATTTACAATTCATCTACCACCCCCTGAAATATTAGACTGTCCCGTGATATGTGGAAACCCTATGTTTTGCGGGAGATATTGGGAAAGTACCTTCAATGTTTTGGCAGCGATAAAGTCACAAGCATCTAGAATATGGGACTAGGACCTTCTATGTTATTTGCTGATGATGTACTGACGTTGTCAGCAGGGTACACAGAGAAATGAAACAGTTAAAGTGCTGCGACAGAAATTTGACAGACTGATTGGACTATGTGAATGAGAGGCTAGAGTAAGCCTATCTAAGGCTACAGTGACATGGTTCTCTTTAACAACAGTGTAGCCAAGAGGCACGAGTCTATTGGCTGTATGTGTTGAGATGTTAACGAAAGACTTTAAATATCTTGGTAACTATTTTGATAAATATCTGTCCTCCTGATATCATGCTCGTGATGTCATTATGAAGATTAATAAAGGCCTGACGGAGTTCACTAAGATGGTGTCAGCTAGGATGGCAAAGACTGCTGCTTATGCTCTATTGGAGTTTAGGCTCTCAGTGACTGACTACGGGCTTCATCTCCTTACAGTCAGCAGACATCAGCTGGAAAAACTAGAGAAGTGCAAAACGAATTCACAAGACTGATCTTAGGGAGCACCTCTTGTCACACCATGCGATACATCCTCGACCCGCCATACATGCTCACTAAACTCACAATGGCCCATGCGAGGTCGTAGCTGGGTGTTGCGGCTGGCAGTAAAACACTGCCTAGCTGTCCATAGATGAGTAGAGATAAAACACCTACAGAGAGGATGGTGCGATCCTTGATGACGGAAACTATTAGTAAGTTAGCGAAAATATCATGCTGATATTATCAATGCCCTCAGAGAAATGGGAAGGATAGAGGACTTTGGGTGCAGTGAATCCACATCACTCGCCAGAATGGCAGACTTGGGAATTAAGTCGGCATAGCAAACATCGAGACGCACACCAGACACGCTAGAACACTTGTTAAATCAACTTAAAACTGGTACTATTAGCCATCGGACGTCGGGGTTCATACTGAGGGGAGGATCAGAGCACCTATGGACATGTCCAGAGTGCGATGATGATAACTAACTATTAGTAAAGTTTGCCCATTGGAACGTTTCAGACTCGATGCTGGCATAGAAACACCAGAAAATAACACCACTAATGTGTCACAATTATCATGTTTAACCCTCAGGGCTATATACTACTTTTCGTCCTTCTTAGGACGTTATTTTTTGTTGTTTGAAGCCCCACTCTGGCTTTTGCCAGGGGCCGCAATATAGGCAGGTCATCATTATGGCCAAATGTCTGAACGCGGTTTCTGGGACCTCTCCACGGTGATCCTCATCCGCATGGTGGCACTTTGTGTCATCGGGTGTTTATCGCTTGTGTGATGTCCTGGTGGGGTAAAAAATCCAATCCAATCCAATCCTCAGGGCTATAATTGTGATATAAAATGTTAATTGAGTTCTCAGAGTATAGGCCTAAATATTTGTTATTTTAAATTTATATATCATGAAGTTATTTATATGACCAAAATGTAATTTTTATTGCTTTACATTTTGCTTTGATTTGGGTTGAGATTATGATATAAATTGTAATATAAATAATGAGACAATCTTACTAACAGTCATTAACATGGTGTGTATAATATTGTTTCCTTAGTGTACAATCTTTGATTATTCTCCTCGATTTTATCTTTAGGGGAAACTTCTTCAGAGATGCCAATGGGCATTCTCTATCCATCTATACACGGATTTTAGTCCTAGTAATACATTGGTTGACCTTGCCATGCAGCTCTCTGAGACTTTATGTACAACAAGTTTTCCATCGTCATAGGTAATTTACAAAGATTCATGTAGCCAGTTAATGGTTTCCTTTGGTTTTCATATTTCCTAAACTCCGGCAAATAGTGCTCTATAGTATTGTATTTCTGGAGCTCATCCAAGTTGCAGTCTAAGCAATTTACGACTGCATGGTATTTTAAGTTCATCTGTTATCTGACTTTGTCTTGTAGGAGCATTTAACAACTTATATGAATGTCTAACCTTTAGGGTTTAACACGATATTTTTGCAAAATGACTACTACTACGGGAAGCGCAAGTCAAGATTAGCATGGATATACACAGCACAAATGATAGGGGGGTGACGCTTAACAGGCAATTACGCCAATCATGGCCATGGAGGTAAAAGCTGTGTCCAGAATACTAGAATGGGCAGCAGAATATACAGTCACTCTTGCAGTGATCAGACTCCACGTACATTCTTTGGAAACTTGTAACAAGTAGTGTACACACTGAATGGGTCCTCAGCTTCACAGACAGCAGATGGCTCAACTCCGATGATACAGTAACAGCACGCCCCATTCCCTGAGCGTCGGCCATACCTTCTAGTCACTACCCGATGAACCATTTCCTTCTGACATCGATGATCTGTTTGAGCTTTTGCACTGTTCACTCGCCCCCAGGAAGTCTTGGCGGGTTGAACTCTGTCACTGCCGCCAGTCTGTCCGCTATTTAAAGCCACAGTGACCTGCAGTACACTGCAAGACAAATTGTTCTACTGAAGAACATAAGTAAACCAGCTATTGAGTCAAGTTTACAAACTGCGTATCTTTTGCTCCTAGAACTGACA